GTCATTGTGTCACAATCTTTTTTAATCGGTTGATTAAATTCATTACATGAGCTGCAGACTGGCTTTAGTGCTTACTGATAAACATTAGCATGCCAGTATACTGAACCAGCAGTGTGAACAAGGTAATCTATCAGCTAACGTGTTAGCATGGTGTTTTAGCAGACAGGTGCTGCTCATGAAAACACTGTCATGCTTTGCTGAGCTGTGGCCTCGTTGTCTACTTCATAGCTTTTATTTAAAAAAAACTGGACGACTGAAATGGTTTCTTACTGTTGGGCTTCAGATCACTAGGGTAAAACATTCAATCTGATTCATTTGTCCAGCAAAGTTAATGCAAGCTTCGTCTTTATTTCATTTTTAGTTCACCAGTAAGTTAAAGCACATGGACTCCAACATGGTTCCACGATATGGGCTGACCTTGTATCTCAGATGAGGATGAAAAGAGGTTCAAATCCCAAAAGATCCCAACCACAATAATTTCTGAAATATCATTTTCATTCAAGTGTGCGCTCTCATACCAGCCTGCAGCCAAATGCGTTCCAGGATGGTCCAAATATAGGTGGGCCCATGGCGACGGGTAGAGCTGAGGTCTGACACCTCGGACAGAGCCGCTTCAAGACGGGATAGTGCAACTGATGAAGGACTCTGTGAACCTGAAGCAGGATCATAGGTAAGAAATGGGACCTGTTAGTGCTGCAAATGTTTCCTCATCTTGCACATTAAACCAACTAAACACTAAAGTGGTGATTTACAACCTGAACAATGAATATGCATATGTTAGCATTGATGAGAAGCAAACAGAAACTGTGTAAAAAAGTAAAATATTTCAAAGCCAGTAACTATAATGTCCTGAATCCCTGAACACTAAATGTGCAGGTTGCAGATCCTGCTCTAAACACAGGTGTGAGTCACATCATTGATATTTAAACAGCACATCTGGTTTCCGGAACTGGGTTGCAGACAAGCAAACAGGGCTTTTAATCCAGAATAGGTCAAAAGCTGGGGGATTTAGACTGACCTACAAATTCACCTTTCTCACTGCTATTTACCCAAAGCCATAGACAGAGCAGGATGTGTTTAACTTAAACTAATCAATCCGGCATGTTGCAATCCAAATATGCACTGTGACATGTCCTTTCTAAAAGATTTGAGCAAGCGAGAGAACAGACCAGTGGAGGCGTCCTGGAAGTCAGGCAGGGTGAGGTGGATGGAGGGTTTCCTGCCGCTGGGGCTGACCTCTGTCCTCTCAGGCATCGGTATACTGCTGCTGTCATCTGTCTCACTGTAACACATCAGAGAGGACATTCACATGTACTGTTTTTGTTTTTATCCGTGAGATTCCACCTGTGACTGAAATGATCAAGTCCATCTTAAATTGGCTTTAATACACATAATTTGTGTATTACAGCTCGCTTGCTAATAATGAAAAGGAAAGGCAAAGGTGTGCGATAGCCAGGTCCTCCTTCTGCTTTTAGCATTTTGCTATGCTAAAGCTAAAAAGTATCAATGACTCACTTTTAACATGAAGGCAGCATAAAGGAAAAATAAGTCAGGAAATGGTCAACTCTTAAATCAGTATTTTAAATCAGAGAATGGGTTATGAATATATAGATAGATAGACAGATAGATAGACAGATAGACAGATAGATATTCTTAAACATTTTGAAATGGCTAGGCTAGCTTAAATTACATTGTTCTAAAAAGTATTTGTCCATTTTTAAAAATACACATTTTTCCTTAATAAATGCAGTCTTTCAAAAATTGCACATTAAAGTTTATTAGCTTCCTCAGTTCTTTCCTCCTGCATCTTTTCTCTGTATCAAGTTAGAAGGAGAGGTCAAAGAAAAAAGCCAATGAAACATGAGCTAGCGAGCTAACTGTGCAGCAACACTAATGCATGCTTCCATGCAGAGGTTCACAGTGTAACCAGTGTGATGTCGAGCATTATACTTGTTACTGTAGCAGAAACTGCCCTTCCTGAAGTTCCAGCATGCCATTTATTCAAGAACCACTTGACTGAGCCATTAGTGAAGCCTCAGCGTTGTGGATGCATAGTAAATGCACAACATTCAGGGGAAAAAGATATTTTAAACCTTATTTCTGGAAAAAGTCATAAAATGTGAAGCCGTTTTTAATCAGATTCAAGTGGTGAGTCAGTAGATGTAGTTTTATAACCTGAAGTTATTGAAATGAGCTTTATTCTCATTTAAATAGAGATTTCAAAAAAATACCTACTGGTGTTACCCACACACGTCTACAAGGAGTTTAGTGTGGAAGCTATGCCTGAGAGTCAGTAATCAAACTCTCAGTCATCATCAGCTACTTTGAGTCATTGAAGTGGACCACTCCAATGTACTGGATGCAATGATTATCACCTGATGTGAGGTATGGACCATCTAAATTATTTTGCTTGTGTTCTGGTCAGTGAAATTCTAATGTGTCTAACATTTAGTATTTATTATTAGGTATAATTTTGTTTGTGTACTACATAAATAGAGTCTATGGAGGTACCTGGCTTAGCAAACTAGCTAGCATTAGCTGATGCTTTAACTTAGTGCACCACTTTTTGTCCAAATGTTGGTCAGGCGAGCACGGGACAGTCGTTGGTATCAATTCCTTCATGCTCCAGGAGCTGCCTGCATACTCTCGTCACATGAGTCCGGGAATCGCTGTGCACCAAAAGGAACACAGGACCCACCACACCAGCATTTTATCCCAATACCTAATGGCAGTCAGGGTGCTGTTGCCTACCCTGTAGAGGCCTGTGTGTCTCTCCTCAGATACGCTTCTACAGACCTTCACTGACCCACCACCAAGAGAGAGCTCTTGAGCAATGGCACGAAAGAGCTAAAACTGATTGAGAACCCCTTCTGCTGCCAAACTGACCAGATCAATATCCCAGATGTTTAACTGACTTCATGCTAAACTCTGATTAAGAAATGGGCAAAGAGTATATTTGTTGTTTATCCTCCTAGCTCCTTCAGGAACTATGTGAAAATAAAGAGTTGGATGGGAAATTTTTACAAAGAAAATACAAATTCCATGCAAATTTTTGTCTGTAATCGTTCTACCAGCCTATAAATAAACAGAATTTTTGCATTTGTTTTTTTTTATATTTGTATTTTTGTATTGGTTTTGGTAGTGCCTGTAGTGTTCAGTTATTATGAAGGGTAATAATGAGCTTTGCTGTATGTCAGTTCTGGTATTCAAAACATGAAAAAGGTCAACATCTCAAAACCACTCAGGTCACAGGTAGAACATTATTTCAGAAAAAGCATTAATGCGTGAACACACACACACAAAAACACACACACACTGAATAACACCGCAGCAGAGACAGCCGCCCCCTCCCAGCCTCATCGTGCACAACAGCACAGAAACTATTTGAGCTAAACGGTAATGCACATTTTGCAGCGCACGATAAACAAAGTAGCACCAATGCTTATCTCTCTTGTGCATGCTCACCTGGAGCGGCTGACATCATAGCGGCTCTGCCAGTGTTGCAACATCTCCTCACAGGTATGCAGGGCTGCAGCCGGGCCGAGCAACACCTCTTCAAGCTTTACCTTTGTGAACAGCAAACTGGAACAAGAAAAAGCCACAATGCATTTTTGTTTAAATTTGAACAGTTTTGTTTTGTTTTTATAACCAGAACATCTGTTCATATAAGATTAACTCATATGCACGTTAATCTGTAAACTGAGTGCGTGAGATTGAAAGCCTTGAAACAGTTCTTATTGTTACATAAAAGATTGGAGCTACCAGCAACAGACTTTAACCTTATTTGGTTACAAGAGTTAGAAAACACATCACAAGACATAAATTTGCATGCAAGCATGTGTGTTTGTGCTAGTGCAGTAGCTGGGAGCTTAGAGTCCATAAACATATTGCATGTAGAATAATGCACATATGGATCAACAGAAGCAGAGACAGTAAAGATAGTCATCAACAACAACCTCTAAGAGTTGTGTGTGTGTTGAGAGGCTGATGAGAGGAGGCTGTAGAGTGTTTCCGCTCGGCCCTTTTAGTTGAAGACAACTGGTTAAGTGATGTGGGAGTCTCTGATGTGAAAGAGTGTATGTCTGTGTGTGTGTGTGTGTTTGCCGTTGTGTGTGTGTGTAGTAATTGCCAGAAGGGGCTCTCAGAGGATGGGGTCTGTCATGGGCATCACTCATCCATGAGTGTGAGGAGGGAGAGAGGGAAAGAGGCAGAGAGACTATGGTGTTTGCAACATCTGACGCCAAGCTGTCCACTGCCTCTGTTGAAGGCTCCTCCAATTATTCTGTGCTCTCCTGTCAAGGGGGAGGGAGGGAGTCTGGAGGGGGGGAGGCGGTGGGATGAAGAAGAGATGGATGAAGTGATGGAGGGAAGGTGAGGATCAATGGCTGAGCGAAAGGAGTTCGTGTCAGGGGAGAAAACTCTTGTTGAAATGCGCCTCGTTACTGACTCACGGGTCGGTGCACGGCTGGGAGAAGGGAGTGTGTGCGGAGGGTGTGAAGCAATGATGGAGGGATTTTTGAAAAGAAAAAAAATGTACGAGTGTGGGAGGAACGGGGTTGGATTTGCTGACATGCAGATGACAAGTGCTGCCGAGGGACGCTGAGTTAAGGATACGCCTGCCAGTAGGAGTCCACCAGAGTGTGGTTGTGTGCATCTCTCTAGACTCCCCGTTACCGGTGTGACAAAGCGTTTAGAAGCTTTGTGATGATGTAAACCCATCTAAGTGTTAAGATGTGACAAAGTGTGTGTGTGTGGGTGTATCTCACGTGAACAAAGAACCGCGTAACCTGAAAGTTTGTAATTATTTTCTAATAAAGCTGCTGAGTTTGAAATGAGCACGTAAAACTTATATTGTGTAATGTTTGTACAACAAATAATATAAATTTCATACTCATTCACAAATAAATTACAGTAATCTTGCTTTTTTCTTCCAGTCAGTTTCAATTTGTCATTAATGAAACCCACTCCTTCATGGTAATTTCAAAATAAGAGCTTGCAAAGAAATAAATTTGCAAGTTTCTTCTGAAACTGAAAGAAAACTAGAGTTCATAGGAGGCCATTAATATGGTTAATGGAGCTACATAACTAAAAAAGTGCTTTGAAATCAGCAAAGATACCCTGTTGTTCTGAATCCCTTGTTTAATTTAATGAAGTTCAAGTTATTGTATATTGTGCACACTCACTGACCACTCTCTAATCAGCCAAAGGTGATTTAAGTTTTGGTGCCAGACGGGCAGGTCTGAGTATTTCAGGAACTGCTCATCTATTTGGATTTTCCCGCATAACCATCTCTAAGCTTTGCAGGGAATGGTGAAAATGCCTTGTTGATACCAGAGATCCAAGGGAAGATTGGCCAGAGTGCTTCAACCCAATAGGATGGAAACAGGGGCTCAAACAACCAATCGCCAACAACCAAGGCATCCATCTCTGAACACACAAGAGATGAAACCTTAAAGCAGACAAGCTACAGCAGCAGAAGACCACAGCGGGTACCTCTCCTGTCAGCTGAGGCTACAATATACACAGGCTCACCTAAACTGGACCACAGAGGACTGGAAAAATGTTGCTCTGTTGCAACATTATGATGGTAGCATCACAATTTGGCCTAAACAACATGAAAACATGGATATAATATAATCCAATGAACGATAAAACTAAAAAGAAATGTCTTTTGCTGCTTATCCTGCATCTTTTAGAATATTAAAAAGACTGGCTCACCTGATGATTTCATCAGGAGCAACTCAGAGTTCAGTATCTTCTTCAAGAATACTTTGGCATACAGACTAGAACAACCAGGAATTAAACCAACAACCCTCAAACTAGTAGATACCCTGCTCCACCTCTGGAGCCATAGCCACCCACAACAACAAACATCTTCAAGAAGATGGTTGTCATTTTCTATCAACTAAATCTTATTTGTAGAGCTCCAAGTGTTCCTCTGCATAAACACTATGAGTTCAGCTCTTGAGTTCCCACTATATGTGAGCTGTTTGCAGACGTTGTTAGGTGCAATGTTGCATCAAAACATTGCCTCGCTTCCCTCATGCAATATGGCAAACACACCATCCCGATTTGCTGGTCTATTTAAGCTGTAAATTTCCCATATTTCCCGCTGATATGTCAATGCTGCCACTACTGCCCTGCATTGCTGCTTGCTCTTTCAACCCATCCACCACCCCGGCATCTACCTGTAGGCTTCATGGCTAGATTAGACCATCATCATTCCCTAGATGCCAGTTTCTAACTATATTCTGCTACTGTAACAAATAATCAAACGCGAGTTTTCGGACCTCTGGAAAGTGTTGAAAGGCTTTTGAATAATGTTTGTAGTGCTAAATTTCACTGGACTGCACTATTGATAAAAACTGGAGTTAAAATGATGGGAAAAGCTCAATTAATTTCATTACTTGCATCTTTTATGTACAAATATTGTCGTCATTTACTAGTTAATTCCAATAGCTTTTACTTGTTGGTAAAAGTAAAAGCAACTGGAATATACTTTCAGATTAAAAGCTTAAAAAGGGATGTGTTTTGCCCTTTCGGTTAGTGAAAGGCTTCAGTAGCATCAAACATGATGAACGTCATCTGAAAAACAGCAAAGTGAAGCAAACTGTTACAACGGAAAGGTATCAATCAGAAAACGGGAACATCGGCATATGAAATTGGTGAAATTAGGAAAAGATGTCACAGTCACTGATATAGGGCTTCTAATATGGCATATTAGAGGGTATAAAACAAAAAAAACAAGTTTGTTGAAAATATAGCACAGTAAAGTCATATATTCATTCTATAGAATGTTTTTGCACGATTAATTCACTGAGAACATAAAAAAGAAATATCAACTGATCTAAGTCATCCAAGGATAGAGCCTTTTCCTCTATTACAATCAGTGCTCTCCCTCACAGCTCCACAACAGACAGATTTCATCAAGATTACAACATTCAAAACTGCACAAAAATTACAAAGGCTGTCATTTCCAGCCTCCTGGGAGTGAGCCTGGTGTGTGCAGAGTGGAGTGTTTGAGGATGCATAGCAGTGAGTAGTGTAGCTCAGAGTAAGAGCTCAGTGGTGGCTGGCTAAGAGCGGTGAGCACCAGCGTAAACTCCATATAAAAATAGCTAATAATGTTCCTTAGAAAAAGTGGTACATGTACAGTATTACTCATTCTGCACTCCCACAGATCAGAGTGCGGATACTCTACAGGCAGATGGGTGCACGCACACACACAGAAAAGTGCACGTGTGCGTCACACTCGAGTATATAATGAGTATACAGATATACAGTATGCACATCCATAGAGAATAACATGCAAGACCCATGCTTGCTCAGAGCACACAGTAATCCAGGCCTGCATGTGCAGGCTAACACATGCTTGTGGAGAATCACACACACACACACACATGTAGCAGTACACGCTCCTGCTGCAACATCCCGTTAGATGAATGCAGAATCAAAGGCTGGGATTAATCATTCTCTTTAGTACAAACTGTGAGACCACAATCACTGTCTCTACTCCTCTCTCTCCCTCTCATACACACACATGCACACATGCAACCCTCCCCCCTCGTCCCTGTATTGCCTCAGCTCTCTCAATCTGTAGCAGAATCCCATTTCACATTGAAATGCATGCCTCTTTACTGAGTGATTAAAATTTCAAAGAAAAGGGAGAAATGGAGACTGAAAGATAAAAAAAAATGAGAGACAAGAAAAGGAAGAGAAAGAAAGAAGGAGATAGGATGAGACGGAGAGACAGAAGACGGCAGAAGCCGGGGGTAGAGGATGTGGGAGAAAAAGGAGGAAGGAGAAATTGTGTATGCTACAGTGAGCTGACAGTTTGCTGTGGTGCAGAGAGGCAGTGGCAAACAAGAATCACACACATGCATGCACACATGCAGTGACACACAAACATGCGTGAGCAAGATTACGATCTCGAACACACGGTCGCATCCTCTTCGCCCCCTCCACAGCAGACAAGCACACACACAAAACACACACGTGCACGACTGTCGCGGAATGCGAGCTTTGATCTCAGATGCTCGCTCACGTATTCAAAGCAAATGATATTCAATGAGCTCGTTACTGAGAAAACACATCCTTTCACACCAAGTCTTTGGATCTTTTATTCTCTGACTCTGAGGTCTGCAAATGGGCCTCAGTCCAGATGGTCCAGAATGTTCTAGGATGGATTTAGGACCATGTTTCTGTTTGCAGTGGCTGG